CCCCAAAACCTGCCAGGGGCACCCCAAAATCTGCCCTGGGATCCCCAAAACCTGCCAGGGGCACCCCAAAACAGCCAGGGGCACCCCAAAATATCCATGGGCACCCCCAAAATATCCATGGGCACCCCAAAATATCCATGGGGACCCCAAAATATCCATAGGCACCCCAAAACCTGCCCTGGGCACCCCAAAATATCCATGGGACCCCCGAAATCTGCCCCTGGGATCCCAAAATCTGCCCTGGGGTTGGGATCCCAGAATCTGCCCCAGAATCCCAAAATCTGCCCCAGGATCCCCAAAATTTCCCTGGGATTGGGATCCCCAAATTCCTTGGTTGGGATTTTGGGGTGACCCCCCTGGATTTGGGGTTTTTTGGGGTGTCTGGGGCTGGAATTTTGGGATCGTTTGGGATTTGGGGTGACCCTCCCGTGGATTTGGGGTTCCTTGGGGTGCAATTGGGAATTTTGGGGTTTTTTGGGGTGGGATTGGAAATTTTTTGGGTGTCTGGGGCTGGAATTTTGGGGTCAGGTGGGATTTGGGGTGACCCCCAGGGATTTGGGGATTTTGGGATTTTTTGGGGTGCCCCTGGATCGAAGTTTGGGGATCAGCTCAGGAGGATTTGGGGACACCGGGATGGGATTTTGGGGATTTTTTTCGGGATTTTTTTGGGTTTTTTGGGGTCCTGCTGTGGGGATTTGGGGGCTCAAACCCCTGGTTTGGATTTTGGGGTGACCCCCGTGGGTTTGGGGTGTTTTTGGGGTGTCTGGGGCTGGAATTTTGGGATCATCTCAGGAAGATTTGGGGACACTGGGATGGGATTTTGGGGATTTTTTTTTTATTTTTTGGGGGTTTTTTGGGGTCCTGCTGTGGGGATTTGGGGGCTCAAACCCCTGGTTGGGATTTGGGGGTGACCCCCGTGGGTTTGAGGGTTTTTGGGGTGTCTGGGGCTGGAATTTTGGGATCAGCTCAGGAAGATTTGGGGACACCGGGATGGGATTTTGGGGATTATTTTGGGATTTTTTGGGGGATTTTTTTCGGGATTTTTTTGGGGTCCTGCTGTGGGGATTTGGGGGCTCAAACCCCTGGTTGGGATTTTGGGGTGACCCCGGTGGGTTTGGGGTGTTTTTGGGGTGTCTGGGGCTGGAATTTTGGGATCATCTCAGGAGGATCTGGGGACACTGGGATGGGATTTGGGGAATTTTTGGGGGATTTTTTTTGGGTTTTTGGGGTCCTGCTGTGGGGATTTGGGGTCTCAAACCCCTGTTTGGGATTTTGGGGTGACCCCGGTGGGTTTGGGGTGTTTTTGGGGTGTCTGTGGCTGGAATTTTGGGATCATCTCAGGAGGGTTTGGGGACACTGGGATGGGATTTTGGGGATTTTTTTTATTTTTTGGGGTTTTTTGGGGTCCTGCTGTGGGGTTTGGGCTCTCAAGCCCCTGTTTGGGATTTGGGGGTGACCCCGGTGTTTTTGGGGGGTTTTTGGGGTGCCCCCAGGCCCCGTGTTCGTGGAGCTGCCCATCGATGTCCTGTACCCCTTCCACGTGGTGCAGAAGGAGATCGGGGGCTCCAAAACCCCCCGGGGGCTGCGGGGGAAACTCGTCCAGTGGTGAGAGAGAAAACGGCCCAGAAACACCCCAAAAACAGCCCAGAAATAACCCCAAAAATAGCCCAAAACCAGCCCAGAAACACCCCAAAAATAGCCCAGAAACACCCCAAAAACAGCCCAGAAATAACCCCAAATATACCCCAAAAACAGCCCAGAAACACCCTAAAAACAGCCCAGAAATAACCCCAAAACACCCCTAAAACAACCCAAAAATAACCCCAAAAATAGCCCAAAACCAGCCCAAAAACAACCTAAAAATAACCCCAAAACACCCCCAAAACAGCCCAGAAACACCTTAAAAACAGCCCAAAAATACCCCAAAACCAGCCCAGAAACACCCTAAAAACAGCCCAAAAATACCCCAAAACCAGCCCAGAAACACCCCAAAAACAGCCCAAAAATAACCCCCAAAATACCCCCAAAACAGCCCATAAATAATCCCAAAAATAGCCCAGAAACACCCCAAAAACAACCCCAAAAATACCCCAAAACCAGCCCAGAAACACCCTAAAAACAGCCCAAAAATAAACCCAAAACAGCCCAAAAACAACCCAAAAATACCCCCCAAAACAGCCCAAAAATAACCCCCAAAATAGCCCAGAAACACCCTAAAAACAACCC